TTTTGTTAATTAGTGTAGGGTGAAAAAACTGACTAATATAATTGAACTCGATAAAAAAAAACATTTTAACAATGATTTCTTTTTTAAATTTCCAATTTAATAAACATTATTACAAAAAAATATGAGAAGCAGGCACATGGCACCTCCATTGCACGGTTTCATAGCCTACTGAGGTAACGTTTAACGGTTGTCATGCAAACGATTGCTATGGATACGGTTGCTATGGTAACTATTGTCATGGAAACGGTTGCTATGGTACCGGTTGCTATGGAAACGGTTGCAATGGTAACTATTGTCATGGAAACGGTTGCTATGGAAACAGTTACTATGGATACGGTTGCTATGGTAACTATTGTCATGGAAATGGTTGCTATGGTACCGGTTACTATGGAAACGGTTGCTATGGTAATGGTTGTCATGGAAACGGTTACTATAGATACGGTTGCTATGGTAACTATTGTCATGGAAACGGTTGCTATGGTAACTATTGTCATGGAAACGGTTGCTATGGTAACTATTGTCATGGAAACGGTTGCTATGGTAACTATTGTCATGGAAACGGTTGCTATGGAAACGGTTGCAATGGTAACTATTGTCATGGAAACGGTTGCTATGGAAACAGTTACTATGGATACGGTTGCTATGGTAACTATTGTCATGGAAATGGTTGCTATGGTACCGGTTACTATGGAAACGGTTGCTATGGTAATGGTTGTCATGGAAACGGTTACTATGGATACGGTTGCTATGGTAACTATTGTCATGGAAACGGTTGCTATGGTAACTATTGTCATGGAAACGGTTGCTATGGTAACTATTGTCATGGAAACGGTTGCTATGGAAACGGTTGCTATGGTAATGGTTGTCATGGAAACGGTTGCTATGGTAATAGTTGTTATGGAAACGGTTGCTATGGAAACGGTTATTATGGATACGGTTGCTATGGTACCGGTTGCTATGGAAACGGTTGCTATGGTAACTATTGTCATGGTACCGGTTGCTATGGAAACGGTTACTATGGATACGGTTGCTATGGTAACTATTGTCATGGAAACGGTTGCTATGGTAATGGTTGTCATGGAAACGGTTGCTATGGAAACAATTGCTACGGAAGCTGTTGCTATGGTATCGTTTGCTATGGAAATAAAATTGTACTCATTTTTGTTGCAGTTCAAAATGAGTCAATGCTAAACGACATAAAACGTGGCGCCACCAACTTAACATATTTTTTTTGCACTTTAAAATAAGTAGCGTACATTACTCATTTTGAGCTCAGGTTTTTTTTTGTATAAATTTTAAGAGTCTTTTTTTTATCATAATTTTTTTTATGGAAATTTTTTTTTTTACACAAGATTACTCTTTAGAAAATTATCCACGTTTATTCATATGGGCGCGTGTATTTGCCTCCACTATATGAATATAAAGAATCTCTTTGAACATAAATATATTGAATGACCTTGTAACGCTTCTGCGTAGAATCATGTGTTTTTTTTTCATATATATATTATAAGAACCATATACAATATCTGTTTTTAGACTTTATATATAAAGCGATAAAATAATCTATAAAAATATTTGTGTGATAGGTTTTTTTTAAAAAAAAGTGCAAACTTTCTTAGTGAAGTACTTGATAAAATATAGGTCAGTTAATATAAGTTTATAAACTGCAAATTCTAGATAAAAATCTGCCAAGTTGCCAGACGACTTGTGTAATGTGATTTTGATATGTGAATAGAAACGATTTTTATAATATAGTTTTAACTTCTTTTTTTTACGTTGCAATCAACTCTTTTTTTTTATTTTTTTTTTAGTTCTATTTAATGTTTGCAAATATTTATATAATTACTTTTCGACTATATATTTAGACGCAATGTAATAAATCAGAATTGTCATTCATTCAGAAAAAAAGTGGGACAGACAATTATTCTTCTTTGGTATGCTTGAAAAGGCATTAAATTTTTTTTTTTTTTTTTTTTTTTTGAAGCAAAAAAACTACTTGAACATCTTAAACATTTATTATACACTCGATTTTTTTATTCTCTGATGAGGAAATTTTTTTATTTTGATTTATTTAAATTTTTGATTTAATCAATATTTTGTTTGCAATTTATATTATTTTTTTTATATTAGTAGAAAAAGTCAATCTCAATAAGACTGGCATTTTCTAAAACAGGAGTACTATTTTCATCAGTGGTGAAAGTCAATTTCAGTCAGACAGAGACTTGTTTTTTTTTCAATTTCTCGACTAATTTTTATTTTTTACATTTCTGATTTTTAACCATCTTTGGAATCTTAAATTTTATTATTATCGATGACAATATCTATGATTAAATTCGATTATTATAGAGAAATTTATTTTCATGTACCATCAATATTATTATATAATAATATAACAAAGCTCGTGCTTCTGCGTTAAAACTATCAATCGTTGGACATTCTTGACTGTCATTATAAATTCTCTTATCTGTTGAACTGATGTCCTTTGGGATGCTGTGGAGGGGTGGGAGAGGAGAAACCCACTATTCACTCATGATGTACGTAAACGGGGCGAAATGTAATGAATATAGTGCATATACATATATATAGAGCACTCTAACGCATTCATGTGTAACGTTGTTCAATAATGCGACGATAATGCAACAATAACGTAGCATTATGCCGAGTTGCTCGCTCCTAGATGAAACAATGCTCTGGCAATAACGCCGCCACTTAACGCCGCGACGCTTTGTTAACTGCATTTCAACGTCGAGAGAGAGCGAGAGAGAGAGAGAGAGAGAGAGAGATGCATCTGAGTCTTTGGAGTATTGTATTGTTATATAGAAATGACAACGGATTGGATCTTCAGCTCGATTAAATCTTTCAATGCATCGTATTTCTGATTATATCGTTCTATTTCTTCTCTATTTTTTGAATAGAAATTATAAATTTTGAATAAAATTCTTAATTAACTGAATTTTTAAAACGCTGAAATTATAAATGGCCGAAGAAACCAATCGACAGAAAGATTTCGGACAAAATCTTTCTGCTGGTTGGTTTCTTCGGTCAAATGAAAATTCGCCATTTTTACTCTCTAAATCTGAATTAGTAAAAGTATTTACCAATTTGAATTAGTGACTCACTTTTTGCTTATGAATTAGTAAAATTATACTAATTATTAGGAACTTTTACTAACAATTAGTAAAATTTAACTAATTCTAAAGCAAAAAGTGAGTCACTAAATTTAAATTGGTAAACATTTTTACTAATTCAGATTAAGAGAGTAGAATTCTATCAAATAAAAATTGAAAAAAAAAATTCAGATGAATTACAAATAAAAATTCGGTAAATTTTAAATTTTGGTTTAATAAAAAAACCTAAAAATTTGGTAAACTAACAATTTTGTCACGTAAAAATTTTTTTTTAAAAAGAAGTTCAATCAATTGCTATTTTGTAAAATGATGCCTAAAATTTTATGCCCAGAGAAAAATAGAGTGATTTTTACTATACTTGCAAATTAAATTCTAAACTGCCAGAAATTTCTGTGCATTTCTAAAAACTTTTTATTTCAGAAATAGAAGAAAATACTATTTCCGATATGGTAAAGTTTACTATTTCAAAAGTAATTTTTACTATTACCGAATCAAAAGTTTGCAGAAATTTCGTTTTACTTTCCAAGTATAGTAAAAGTTACTATAAATTTTTTTTCCATATGAGATAATTACACGCAATTATTTTTGGAATAAAAATAAATTATCGGTTTTTTTTTTCTAAAATATTATTAAAAATAAAATTTTAACAATTACTTCTTATTTTTTTTTCACATAATTGAACAAAATATTAATTACAATAGAGTACAATCTTCAAACATTGTTTTTGAAGGTTCATCGATATTTTCATTTTAGAAATATTATATATCTGACGTGAATTTTGTTGGAGTGGGTTGGAATTGAAGAGAGTGAGAGGGGGAGGGGGGTGGGTGAAAGGGGTTGAAATAGACGTTATTGCATCGTGGGTTTATTACTTGGATTGTCGGTTAAAATTAACTACAAAGCACGCAAACGTTCTCTTGAATCTCTCGATATAACTTGAAGCCAATGCACGTTCATCGTCAATAGAATGTTCGTGATGTTCTTCGAGAATCTCATCGGAGTTCGGGAATACTGACACGCCCAGACCTCTTTAATTATAATCATTATCGTACCAGATGAACTACTAATTACCAACTAATAATGGTGCCAAGTCTCAACTCAACTCAAACAAAACTACACTTGGAAAGTTTAGCGATTTCTAGTTTACAGACGCATTCATTGACGTTTTTCTATTTTATATAAAAATATCGAAAAATTATTCTCTATTTCAAAAAAAATGAAAATTCGATAATTAGAATTAGAAAAATTGTCAATTTTTTTCCAACGATAATTAAACTTATTTACTTTCAAATAGCGTTAATTTTCTTACACAGAGTGTTCTTTTTTTTTCGTCGACGATAAAAAGCAACCGACCAGACATTCGTTTTTCACATCAGACTAAAGTGCGGTAATCGGATAAGGAAAAAAGAGTATGAGGCAGGTTCATTTAGAAAAGGGCACTGATTGAACAGAAAAAAAAAAGACCTGCTTCATTTTGCCCAGAAAAACGAACGTGTTTTGATGCTGTGGCGGTTAATGAGACAAGTGTGGATGAAAAAAAATTTCCTTTTTGTAAAAAAAAAAAAAAAAAAATAATCTTCAGATGGTAAAAAATCAGATATAAAATCGTAGAAAAATAGTCGGGAATTAGAAAAAACAGGAATTTAAAGTCTGACTAAAGTAAACTTTTACTCGAATAAAAAATTTTTGTCATAGTTCTACTACTGATAGTAAAATTATAACAATTTTGTCTGGTTCTCTCTTTTAATTACACTTTTGTACCAAATTTCCGCCATCTAGGTCAAAATGACCGATACTTTTAGATAAAATTTAAAGGACGGAAATATTTTGAAATCTTAAAATTAAATACAAATATAATAAAATAATACTCACAAATAGAACAACATTGTATATGTGTAGAACGTATTTTAGGAAGTTCACTGAACAACAGCCATCGTCTCTTGTTCTTATTCTTGTTGTCGTACCGGGTAATCTTTCAGCGCCTTTCGCCATGTTCTTTTCTTCTTCTTCTTTTTTTTGCAAGTATTTCACTGTCACCTTCCTTGTTCTGCACTCTGTCGTTACCTTGTCATAACTCCCTGTAATAAAAAATACAAAAATATATCTATATTTCCCAGTTATAGGTCACTGCTTTCATTTCTTATCGCTACTTTTGTACACAAGCCAGAAAAGAAAAGATAATTCGTTTATATTTTCACAAGGGTAGAGGGGGTGAGAGACAAAAAGTATCTTTAGAAAATTGGTCTTAATTTATCAGTCGTACTTTTCCCATTCTTCAGGATGCTATCAAATGAAATGATTAATTTTTTGTTTATTCAAAATTTAATTTTTCACCTCATTCTAAAATTTTCATTGGTTTCGAATTTAATTTCACTTGAATAATAATTTAACTAATTTATTTATATTTTTTTGGGAAAATTTTTTTTTTTTCAATATTTTCGTATTTTGATTTGTCACGATGTCAAACGAAGAGATATAGAGTATTAAAAAAAAGTGTGAAGGAAATGGAATCAGATCACGTTGCAAATGTTATGTAGAGCACGCAATAGACGTGAAGTCATAACGTATTAAGTTGTAGCAAGATGCATTTCGTGTCGATGTAAAAAGACTTCTCTCTCTCTCTCCCTCAGTGCTGGATTGAAGCCAACACATGGCGTTTCCCCTCTTTACAAATCTTTCCGCTGAGCGCATCCTTTTGCAAGGTAAAAATTCGTCGTCTCTCCCGCGTATGAGAAGAAAAATTCCTTTTGATGCTTCCTTGTAAGTCAAAAAAAAAGAAAAAAAAAAAAATATATTTGAAAATGATATGGTACAAAATTTCCCCTTTTACCCTCGCAACCAAATTGACTTCATTTTTTTTTTTTAATGTTGGTAAATTGAAATCGAATTTTAATGTTTAATGCAGGTTCAATACAAGTTCAATGTTAATATTTTTTAACGTGAGAATATTGTTTCTTTAATATCAATACTTTTCATTTATTTTTTACCACTAATTTTTCATTTTTTTGCATAATTAAAAGTACCTTTACTTAATAATTGTTTAAACAAATTTTAAATAACAAATGCATTGTTTTAAAATTTTTCAACTAGAGAAGATTGTTTTTTCAGTTCTACTCACATATAATAATTAATTTTTCAATTTTGCAAAAGTGGTTTAACATTATCCATTTCTCATAATTGTTTAAACAAAATTTTCATTAACAAATGCTCTATTTGAAAACATTTGTTAATTCAAAAAATTTATTTCTCTTCAATTATTTGTATAGAGTAATTAATTTTTTAGTTCTGCAAATGAGATTTACCAATCTAATAATTGTTTAAACAAATTTTAATTAACAAATACAGTTTCTGAATATTTATAAATTTAAAAAGTTCATTTCACCTGTATTTACATTCAATAATTTTTTTAAATTCTGCCAAAGAGGTTTATCTATTCAATAATTGTTTAAACAAATTTTAATTAACAAATGCACTGTTTACATAGTTTTTAACGTAAAACTTTGTTTTTCTAAAATTGTTTGCATAAAATAATAAATTTACAAATTATACAATAGTGTTTTACTAGTATGCAACAATTAATTGTTTAAACAAATCTTAATTAACAATTGCACAACTTTGACACTTTTTAACGTGAGAAGTTAGTTTTTTCAGTACTATTTACATAAAATTATTAATTTTCCAATTTTGCAAAACTGGTTTAACATTACCTATATCTTATAATTGTTTAAACAAATTTTAATTAACAAATACTGTTTCTGAATATTTATTAATTTAAAAAGTTCATTTCTCCTGTATTTGCATTCAATAATTTTTTTAAATTTTGCCAAAGAGGTTTATCTATTCAATAATTGTTTAAACAAATTTTAATTAACAAATGCACTGTTTATATAGTTTTTAACGTAAAAACTTTGTTTTTCTAAAATTGTTTGCATAAAATAATAAATTTACAAATTATACAATAGTGTTTTACTAGTATGCAACAATTAATTGTTTAAACAAATTTTAATTAACAATTGCACTATTTAGACACTTTTTAACGTGAGAAGTTAGTTTTTTTAGTACTATTTACATAAAATTATTAATTTTTCAATTTTGCAAAACTGGTTTAACATTATCTATGTTTTATAATTGTTTAAACAAATTTTAATTAACAAATTCACTGTTTAGACAGTTTTTAACTTAAAAACTCAAATTTTTAAAATATATACAATAATTTTTTCAATTTTACAAATTTGATAATTTGATAATTGTTTAAACAAACTTTTAATTAAAAAACTCACTTCTGGAATATTTTTAATCATAAATAGTTAATTTTTTCGGTATTAAGAATTAAAAGAACATTCCCTTCAACTAAATACTGTAATGTACAAATAACATATTTAACGAACTGTAAAAATAAATAATTCCCTTTTTGTATTCCCATGAATCGAATAAATTAAACATATTTTCTCGTCATTCTAGCTAACATAAACCACAGTATAAAATTTCTCTTATTCATACAATGTGATAATAGAAATTATATCTAAGTGTATATTCGAATTGAAAAAAAAAATAAATAAAGAAAAGATTTTCAAATGCGAGTCCCATTGTCGAGTCAGGACGCCCCTTTGCAGATTTTTGATGACACAGAATGTAGCACTCCCCGTAGAAAATCCCGAGGATTTATTTCTTTCTTTTGCCTTTGGGGAGTGCGCGCACTCTCTCTCTCTCTCTCTCTCTTTCTCTCTTTCTTGTCCCTGAAGAAATCGTCTTTTTTCTCTTTCACCTGCGCGCGTGGACAGATGCATTTTCCTTATATGTTAGATTTCTGATGGGCCTCGGGACTCGTTTCTGGGTCCGTGCCAAAACAATATTTTCATATAAACTTTCATATAAATTTATTCCCCCGAGGCAATAACAAATTTAGATATACTTTTGGCTCGTCAACTATTTCATATTTGGCCAAAAAAAAACACATTATTCTCCATAATTCTCATCTATTCTTAATTTGTCCTTTATTATTCAATGGAGACAAAAAAAAAAAATAATTTACAAGAAGTTAATAAAATAATGTTAAAAAATAAAAATATTAAAAAAAAATATTTTCTTTAACAAAAAAGCAAAGATAAAATAATTTAGAAATCGTTTCATTGAACCTCTCTTTTATAAGACGTCGTTTGAAAATTTATGAAGTCTGATTAACGTAAATAATTTAGTGGGGATCACTGGCAATAGCAGGCAAACTATTTATTACGACATAATAATTTGTTTTTCAATTCATGAATATTTTCAACATGAAAAGCTTTTATTTATCGCTTAATTATACCGAAAAAGTGGAGAGGGGGGGAGAATAATTTACTGTTCTTCTTGTCTGCGTTCGACGTCTCGATCTACCTCGTAATTATTACATATATTTTAAACTTTATCGACCCTGAATGTCGTCGATAAAATACTCCATTAACAAAAAAAATTTCATTCTTTTTAAAAAAAAAAATGATTTTCAAATAAAAATAAAAAATACTTTTTTAGTACTTTGAAAAAAATTTTTTTTTTTTGCAAAAAAAATTGAAATATAATTTATTTTCCCTCCCATGATTCTCATAAAGAAAACATGAAAGACGCTGCGGAAGTATAAGTATATAATCATAGAAATGAAATTGAAGGTGATACCAAAAGATATTTTTTATGTTCCATTTTCTCATTTGGGATCTCGTAAATTATCCAGACGAACATAAAATATAGGAGTAGTGAAGTCAAAATGACATCTTACGCGGAAATGAATTAAAAAAGAAAGAAATAAAATAAAAAAAAAAAATAAAATAAAATAATAAGGAAAATAAAGGGAAGAGTTGGTTGAGAGACGAAAGGGTGTGGACCCGTTTCACGTGGGCGAGGCTGTTTCTGCGTTGAAATGAGCCAGTAATATAAAAGAGAAAAGAGAGGGGGGAAAAAAAAGAAAGAAATGGAAAAACGGTATAGAATCGAAGAAGTTTCTGAAAGAAAGAAAGGGGGATCTGCATTCTCATAAAATTGCGATGTTGTACCTATATTCACGTATGTGTGCGCAGTTTATATATTTGCTCTCTTTTTTTTCTCTCTCTCTCTCTCTCTTTCAGAGAGCAATTTCCTTGGACCAATTTAATCTATATAAACTTTTTAAACGATGTGACTTTATTGCCGCGACTTGTCTCCAAAATCATTACAATAAATCGACTTTTTATAGGCGACATTTACTGCCAATTTTTCTTTTTTTTTTTGCCTTCAAATCTCCTTGTCAAAACACTTTCAAAACACCTTGTTTCAAAAATCCTTCAATTGTCCTTATAGTAGTGCTAATTTTATTTATCCTGTATTTTATTTTCCCTTATATAAAAAAATAACTTCCTTCGATAATAAAAATGAGATACAAAGTTGTTTTTTTTTTAATATTATTACTATTTCATTACATATAAAAATAGTAATATTTTATTAATAATAATTTATTATCGGTAATAATTATTTTTTGTTTTAATAATAATTCTATTTTTAATAAACTAACGGAAATAATTAAGTAAAAAAAAAAAATATATCCGAGTAAGAAAATCGATTCGTAATTCCAATATATTGGAAATTTTTGGTTAAAATTTCGATAAATATTTGTTGTAATTAAAATTATGTGAAATATTTTTTATGTTAAAATACGAGAAAAGGACATTAAAAAAATTATAAAGCAAAAAAAAAAGAAAATTGTTCCCTCTTCATCCGCATAATAGGAAAATTCGTTTCCTCAATATTCGGAGAAAGGAAAGCCCGAATGTCATTATATTGCTCCGCGCGGACACAGTAGAAGAGACGAAAGAGAGAAAGAATAAGAGAGAGAGTTGAATATTGCATTCAAAGAAACGAAAGTTTCAACTCGGTCACGTGAATCCGGAAAGGATATAAAGTAGTTACTTGAATTATGAAGCTCCCTCGAAAATATCCATTATCGGTAAAGTCTCTCTCCCGAGAAATAGATCATATAGCAAAACGGCGACGACGACTACGACTACGACGACTTGCATGGCGCGCACAGTAAACACTTGGGTGGTTTTAGAGCTCGCGCGGAAATTGAGGGAAT